CATGATAGATGGAAGGGGAAAACATCGGAAGTTGCAACTACAAGACGTAGAGGATCCAGTTTATGATGATTAAAAACAGGGAAGTTTGTTTTTTTTCTTTTTCTTTCTCTTCTTGTTTTTGCTTTTATAGTTTAGTTATTTCCACCTTTTCCTTGCATTTCACCTTATATTGAGAACAATGCAAAGATTAAGTGTGTGTGGGAGGGAGTATAGGATTTGATTCAGGATTTTAGTATTTATTTCAGTTCGGAAAACAAAAAAAAAAAATCAACTCTTTTGAAATCAATTGAAACAATATTCTGGGAAAATTCTTGTGGACCTATCTGAAGCCATTTTCTGTTAAGCTAGTCTTAAGTTCAGGTTTAAGTAAATAGGGTAAATATTTTATCATTACTACAATTGGTAGGACGGAACATAAGATGCACCTATAAACTACACAAGATGTTTCTAAACGGATTAAAGTATTGTGAGGTTGGTGTGAATAGCAAATTTGTGTTTTTCTTACTTAGGTGTATGCCATTATAACTATCATAATGAATATGATAACTATTTTACATTAACCCTAGGTTCTTCTAAGAACATTTTCATTTGCCATATTATGTTACATGATTTTGTTATGACTATATATGCATGCTTTGTGCCAATTTACTACTCCCCTTGTAAAAGTTAATAGGTTTCCCAATGTACAATTTCTAAAGTCAACATCCCCATTTATATTTATGTCTATGATACCTTCTAACATATGTTTATCAGTTCAAAAGCATAAATACTCCACGAAAAATCCATCAAACACTTGAAAATCTGCTTTGTTTCCAACTAATGTTCTTGAAAAAGATTATCAAGAATTCTATTTGCAGAACCTATTACATGTATATTATTATTTGTGTTTATAAAAATCAATTTTCAAAGAACCGGATCAAGTATAAAAATGAAAAAAAAGAAGAGGTTCACAGGTCAAAGGTTCAATTGATGAGGTCAAATCAAAAGTCGAACCGTGATGATGATGATGTGTGTGCATATCAATGGATTAATAGTAATTAACAAGATAATACACACAAGTAAAACGTAATGGAGACCAACTCATTTAGTAACTCGGGCGGTCTGGGTCACAATTTTCTTGATTAACCGAGGCTGTTAGCCCATCCAAACCATGAAAGCCTTTATTTAATGTTTTAAACACAGGATCCGAGTCACCGGATCGGAATCGCTGAATGAACTATCTGTTCTGGTCCAAATCTTACAACACTGGCTTAGAGGCTTCCAGCAACACAATTGAATCATAGATCCATCTTACAAAGAGGAATATCTAACATCTCCATCTTGCTGTAGTTGTTCATGTGACCTATTTTGATGTCGCCAAATTTCCACATAATCCAAGCCGTCACATTCTTTACTGAATATATGTAGATAGACCAATGATCTACCCAAAGCGTCACCCAAACTATTCTACTTCTAACTTTTCCCTTCTAAATGCCTCAGAGGCTAACAACATTTAAATATAATTAAGCAGCCAAATTCCGAACCCCGTGACCGATGAATCTTTTGCAATGCTATAGAAATCAACCAAATTTAACAAATAAAACAGAAATCACTTATATAAGAATGTGAGTAATACAATGAACACATAGCAAAGCAATAATCCCAATTAATGAACATTAATTAGATGACAGAAAATAGAGAACTAAAGCTACAACCATGGATGCTTTCCTCCCATGATCGATCATTAACAGCCTCAGAGTTTGGATCTACATCGATAGACCTTAAAACACCCTCTATTGACAGTGTTTGATGGAGTAGGAAGGCAACTATTTGAATAGGGTTTTCCTCTTGCACCATTACCACAAGTTGCTTGGTCTGATTTCAGAGCCCCATAACTAATTCTGTTTGTTTGCTCAAGAAACCGACGACTGATCTCCGACTCCATCAATCCTTCCTCCTCTCGACTACATTCTGCAATAGAATCATTAAATGGCCACTGTTTATCACTGCTTCCTGCGGCAGCTACCAATGAAGATCCAGAACTACGGACTCGGAGCAGCAGTACCATTGCAAAGAGGAAGCCGAGGGACGTTCTCTTCCAACCATTACTAATCATCTCTCCCTCTCTCTCTCTCTTGTGTGCGGTTGGTGTAAGAATTGAGGGGATACACACTTTTTTATATGCAGCATATGTCTGACAACCAAACCGGACAATGTATACGATCTACATTTTCCTTTTTTTATTTTTTATAATTGACATGCACGCATTTCGATGTTCACATTTCGTTTTCGTGTTCGGTTCGTCACTTTTGTCTTTTCCATTTGTTGTAGTTATCTTTATTTACACATCCATCTTCCATGATTATTCATTAATCTATGAAATCCTTAGATAAGAGTAAACGTTTTCGCCGTTGGATTAGAATCTATGTAGCACCCAATTTTCAAATTTGACTGTCATCCCATTTCATTATTTAAGATGCATATTAGTGAGAATTCATGGGATGTATCGGA